TGCATTCCATTTTTCGTAATGCACTTCATCGCCTTGAAGGTGCGTGGGATCCCTAGGTTTTGGGAAACCTTGAGAGGCGGCTCTAAGAATTCCAACATCTAGAGCTTGAAATACGCCTCCATGCGGATTTTCCAAAAGGAAAATCATCTCCCTCAAAGATAGGAGGAGGTCCATCCCCATGGGACATTTTCTCTAGGCAGTTAAGCCTAAATACGTGAGCACGAGGCTCCGATACCAATTGAAAGGATCAAGATGCCCAAGAGGGGGGGGGGTGAATTGGGCTAATTCTAAAATTCTTTGCAATAATTAAACCCTATACTTAGCCCACTTCACCCCTTGTGCCTAGAAAGTGATTCTAATGATCTACTGCACAAAAGTTTAGCACCCTAAGTTCCAATCCTACTCTAGCATGGCAATTCTAAGAATGTAAAGACAAGAATTGAATTGCTCAAAAGTAAATGCTCAAAGTAAAGAGAGGAGAATGAACACGGCGATGTTTTGCCGAGGTATCAGAGAGTCACCACTCCCCACTAGTCCTCGTTGGAGCACCCGCGCAAGGGTGTAGCTCTAGAACTGGTACGACCTATGACTCTATAGGTATGACTGTAGCAGGTAGCTCTGGAACTGGTACGACCTGTGACTCTATAGGTATGATAGTGCATTTGCAGTCTGCAGGCCGTGGGTCTTGCCAAGTGACTTTGAAGGCAGTGCAGGTCAGCTCTGAACTGGAATGCGACTGTGACTATGTAGGTATGACTATAGCAGGTGGCTCTGATGATGCAACTAATGATGGGAGCATCTCTGTAGTCCTAGTAACTGGAGCAACGGTGGAAGGTCCAGGGACATGTAGCTCTGGCGGTGTAGGCTGCCCTGTCAACTCACTGAATGTAGCACCAAGGCTCTTGGAGACTAGGGTGTTAGTCACAAGCATCGAGGAACTCTGTGCTGGTGTGAAGCCCGTAACAAGAGGTGTGAAGGAAGGACCCTAGGCTGGCACTGGTGAAGCAAACCACTAAGACACCTGCTCTATAGGTGAAGCGAACAAGGTAGTTGGCTGTCCCTGACTCTGAAGCCCACTGGGCTAAAAACCTGGAGTCACTGTAGTGGTGGCAGGCTGACCAAGCTACGGTGTGAGTTGTGGCGGTGGAGCTCCAATAGTAGTAACAACATGTTGCATAAACCCAAGTAACTGCTGCTGAATAAGGAGCTGCTGCTGCTGCATGGCCTGCTGCTGCTGCTGTATAGCCTACTGTTATAGCTGGAACTCATCCTATCTGGCCTAAACCTGCGCAAGAGCAGCTGCTGTCTCCTGGGCCTGAAGAGCCTGATCCTGCCTCATCCGCTCAAGAATCACAAGAAGAGCAGGGTCTGTCTGCGGTGCCTGTGGAGCTGAGCTGGAGCCACTGGCCTCAATGTCATGTCGTCATGGAGGCATCTGAGGGATATCTTGGTAGTCATCATCTGAACTGTTGCTGGGTCGCTCTCGACCATGCCCTCCTGCTGAGCATCTAGCTGCTCCTCCTCTATCGCTGCAACACCCCTGATAATCTCATCCTATTGGCGACAGTCTCTAGCACCTCTAGGCGATGACGCGGCTAGCTAGGTGTCCTCGCTGCACTGTGGCGGAACATCTGAGTCATGTTATATGCTGGAAATTCTGTAGAAGCACTAGAATACTCTACCAACATCTCAGGAGGCCTCACTGTGACTGCCTTGTGAATCAGACATGTGATCTAGTGAGCATACGGCAGCTGTCTGTGACCTCGAAATCCCTCTACAAGTGTATCCTCCATCTCAGAAAGAATGAGATCCCATATATCAAATATTGTCTACTGGATCAGGGAGTTTAGTAGCCACAACTGAATGCGAGTCAATCCCTCGCGATATCCTATCCCCGTGGGACATCTTTCTCTAGGCGGTTAAGCCTAAATATGTGAGCACGAGGCTCCGATACCAATTGAAATGATCAAGATGCCCAAGAGGGGGGTGAATTGGGCTAATTCTAAAATTCTTTGCAATAATTAAACCCTACACTTAGTCCACTTCACCCCTTGTGCCTAGAAAGTGATTCTAATGATCTACCGCACAAAAGTTTAGCACCCTAAGTTCCAATCCTACTCTAGCATGGCAATTCTAAGAATGTAAAGACAAGAATTGAATTGCTCAAAAGTAAATGCTCAAAGTAAAGAGAGGAGAATGAACGCGGAGATGTTTTGCCGAAGTATCGGAGAGTCGCCACTCCCCACTAGTCCTCGTTGGAGCACCCGCGCAAGGGTGTAGCTCCCCCTTGATTCGCGCAAGGATCAAGTGCTCTTTACGGGTTGATTCTTCGATATTCCGTCGCGGTGAATCACCCACAACCGCTCATAACTTGAGTTGGGTCATCCACAAGATCCACCGGATGATCACCAAACTCTCAATCACCACCAAGCCATCTAGGTCATGGCGATCACCAAGAGTAACAAGCAAGAACTCTCACTTGACCGCAACAAGCCTAATGAGAAGGGTGGATGAACACTTGCTACTCTCTTTTCACTAATGAGGCCTTAATCTTGGATTCTCAAATCTAAATCACCTCACTAGGCTCTTGCTCTCCTTGGCACTCTCAAGGGTGTTTCTCAGCTGTTGAAATGGGCAAGAGTACTCCCTTGAAAGAATAGAGGAAGTCTTTATACCCCCTCATTCAAAACGAACGGTTGTGCCTGAGTCAGCATTCTGCGGGGTGACCGGACGCTCCGGTCAAGGTGACCGGACGCTCCAGTCCGGTCAGTTCTCTCCGCCACTGAGCCGTTAAGTTGTGACCGAACTCTAACCTACGTCAGGTCAGCACTGACCTGACGTGTCCAGTCACAGAAACTGCTCTCTGGAACCTTACTGATGTTGACCGGACGCTGGAGTCCAGAGTCCGTCTCTTCGCTGTTCCGCGTCCGGTCAGTAACCGGAACCTGACCAACGTCCGGTCAGCACTGACCGGATGCGTCCGATCAGGATTCTCCTCTCTGGAACCTTACTAGAGTTGACCGGACTCTGGCACCCAGCGTCCGGTCACGTTTCACTAAGCGTTCGGTCGCATCCAGATGACTTCACTTGATCAAATGAACCGACCGGACTCTACTGCCAGTGTCCGGTCACACCGAGACCAGCGTCCAGTCAACGTTTGACCCTCCATTCACTTCCAACTCGAAATCATATGTGAATGAAGTTTTTTCCAATTGATCTTAGGGCCACTTAGGAGCTACCTAGTGCTAGATTTGACAAGTGTGCACCACACCTAACCCACTAGACTCACCTAGGTCAAGCTACTAGGCATACCCCCCTTAATAGTACGGCCAACGGAAAACCAAAGTCCTAAACTACTCTAAGTGTCTCTTCAACACCAAATGACACTTAGAACTAATCCAACCTTAACCTTGTCGTCCATCCTTTGAAAACCGAAACGATTTCCATCGTAAGGGCATGACAACCATGATTGCCCAATCAATTGCCATTACCATGACCTAACTTAATTGCCTATGCAAAATACACGTTAGTCATAGTAATCACGTATTGTCATTAATCACCGAAACCCAACTAGGGGCCTAGATGCTTTTAGAGGGGAAGCGAGGGAGGGGATGGGTGGGGTGGGGATACGACGGTTGAAGGGGCGACGGGCGATGTGGTTACACGAGCGGGTATGTTATTTCTCGCGTATGAAAAAACGTAGGGGGAAGAGATCGGTGAAAGGGAAAACGTGTTTCATCACATAAGTATCGCCCTTCTTCATTTTGGGTCCGCTGTCAGTTTTGTATGAAGCGTTGGATGGAAAATCTAAATAGATCCGAGGGTTTAGATTGTAGGTGGGTAGGGGACGTGATAGGTATTTTACAATTCCTTCGCTCCTTTATAGTATAGAGTGCCGGCAGATGCGAGCGGCGTCCGTCATCCTAGTCCGTGCCGGCAGACACGTCCGCTGGGCTGGTTGATGCCGCGGCGTCTCTAGGAGTGGGATGCGATCATCTACCTGTGCACCAGGAGCAGCGTCCGTTGTCCTCGTCCGTGCAGGTGAGCGCGTCCGGCCGCATGAGGGTTCTCGCGGGCAGGGAGTGAGGATACACGACACAGCGAGGAAGCGCGGAGGTTGTCGTGTCGAATACATGGCGGTGTCACGTGCGCGTAGGAAGCTGTGCAGATGTAGTCGAAGAGGGCCGCTTGGGTATGAGCGGACAGGTAGAATCACCGGTGAAAAGGAAACCCAGGAGAGTGAGGCATCGGAGGGGAAGCGAGGGAGGGGACGGGTGGGGTGGGGATACAACGGTTGAAGGGGCGACGAGCAATGTGGTTACACCGACGGATATGTTATTTCTCATGTATGAAAAAACATAGGGGGAAGAGATCAGTGAAAGGGAAAACATGTTTCGTCACATAAGTGTCGCCCTTCTTCATTTTGGGTCCGCTGTCAGTTTTGTATGAAGCATTGGATGGAAAATCTAAACAGATCCGAGGGTTGAGATTGTAGGTGGGAAGGGGACTTTTAGGTGATAGGTATCTTACAATTTCTTCGCTCTTTTATAGTATAGATAGATATGTTTAGGTTCAAATATGAATTTTAATCTATAATGAGAGGCATGCTTAGATTTCTCGCTGAATTGACTTTAATAAGACACGTGAGCTCCTATATTGAATTTAAAACTGATATCATCTTAGTGCTACGGAAAAGCTTTTAATAACACATCTTAAGTTATTACACATGCAACATGCTAAGAAAAGCTATTACACACATGCTAGTCAGGTGATTTGACTCATGGCTAGGTCCATGCCTACATCAAATCTCCAGTGTGATAAGCCTCTTAGTGTACATAAATCACATACTACTAGTACTCGCTGCAACATAAGTACATCCTTAGGAAGCTTGGAGCAACTCATAACAGAGAACATTACGACGAGATTCTTAAGGTTCATTGCTAATATATTGCTACAACCAGAGCACATGATTCACGGGACCAATCTGCCTCGAGCACTTGCTACAGCTGGAGCAACCTGCGGACTATTGCAACCGAGCTGCTCCCATGCTTCAGCACATAGAGATGGCATAATGCATCCCCAGCGACGTTCAATGCAAATCCACACTTGCTAACATCACCATGAGCACGTGCAGAGCCATAAGCGATCTGGTATATCGCGCAGGCCTCAACAAACACTGTCTGGTGATCCCTTGGGGTTTCTTCAAATTTTGCAGCGCTGTACAGCATCTACAAGTTTGCAAGTCATTCCATGATCTACAAGTTAGAAGGATCAGATAATTACCTGCTTATATTTTGCGCGAACCTGCTGAAGCTTCATGTTCTTTCCTTCTTTGGAGTTAAGCAAGAAAAGTGACCTGTCCGTCAGGTACTCTTGATAGCGGTTTCTCCACATCTCCATGCACATTTCTCATACTTCCACATCAGTGAAGCATCCGAGGAATGATATCTCTGAGAAGCCAAGCAAATGAACATGATATGTATTAATCCTCATCTTTGACAGAAGTTAATAGAAGTGGCCAATATCAGCAATCAAACTATAAACTTCAAGAAAAATGCTCCTTTCATTAAGTACTCCCTTTGTCCGAAAAAGATGATGTTATGGGGTGTGTGCCAACTGGATTTGTAGAAAATACAAGCAACATTTATATCTTCAAATAAGTTTATTATAAAAATATATTCAACAATCTATCTAAGGATAATTATGCATTATAAATGTTAATATTTTTTTAGATATATTCGGTCAAAATTGCAAATGTTTGACTTCTGGGGAAGTGAAAATGACATTCTTTGTGGGACGGAGGGAGTAACTCTCAAGCAACCTGTTATTGACATCCATTTGTTGCAATGGAATATTAATGCAAAATAGCAGCAACACTAAACTTCAAGAAAATATGGTGGGAAGTGAGCAAAAGAGATGGGCAAAAGGTGCAAATGATTTACAATTTCCAGATGCCCCAGCCCAGCTGAAGATAGCGTTTGACTTCTAACTGTGCAACTATTAAAAGCTTAGAGCATAGCTGCAAATTATTATAGCAAAAGAATTTGTGCCTAAATGAATTCAACAAAGACTGCATGAAACTTCAAAAATAATGCAGTAGCTCCCCGAAATAATATGTAAAAATCTCGTTATTTCTCTGGACAAGATTAGTGACAATGAAGCTTGTCTATATAGAACATATCCAAACCAATCAATGTGAAAGGAAATCAGGAAAGGCTAACCACTGTAAAGGTTATTCAGCATAAGGACAAAGCAAGCTCACCTATTGGATGTCTGTTTTCAATTTGTGAAAGTGCTTCATCGTAGATAGCACCCAATACAGATTTCGAGTGGTATGAATGACATCCAGTTTGTTCCATGAAGTGTGGATGACCATCAACTCTCTGGGAACTTGGACCTAGTCACCATGACAAAGAAGAAAAAGGAAAGACTTAAGTCAGTTCAAGTAGAATGAACAACTACTTGCACCAAACTTTTGTCTTGCTAAAGAGATGAAACTGTTGTTAGAAAAGGAAGGAAACAAATGATACTTAACACCAAGCAAGCATAAAGACTACAGTACACGATACACAGTAACTGAAAGCAATAATTGATACTAACCTGGGGATTTTCAGAAGATAATGTCCACAGGTGAAGGAGTCACTATATATAGATAGCCTCATGGCTATATATAGGCATATAGGCCTATTAGATAGGATCTTCACACTTAACACCCCCCTTCAAACTCAAGGTGGAAATGGAGGATCTGAAGCATTGAGTTTGAGCAAATGAAGCCGATGTTGCTCTCTAGTTTGCGCTTTAGTGAAGAAGTCTGCTAATTGCAGCTCGGATGGCACATATTGAAGAGCAATGGTATGCTGATTACAATGAGAGCGAGTGAAGAAAGCATCGACGCCAATATGCTTGGTAAGTTCATGCTTCACAGGATCATTGGCAATCTGTATAGCTCCTGTATTATCGCATAGAAGAGGTGTGGCAGCATCACAAGAAATTCCGAAATCAGTCAACAACCATCGAAGCCATACGATTTCTGCAGTAGTGGTGGCAAGTGCTCGAAGTTCTGCCTCTGCACTAGAACGAGATACAACAGCTTGTTTCTTGGACTTCCATGCAATAGGAGAGGATCCAAGAAGAATACAGTACCCTGTGATAGAGCAACGATCTGTTGGGTCACTCGCCCAAGTGGAGTCCGAGTAAGCATGAAGCTGAAGCGGACTGTCACGGGCATAGAATAAGCTGCGAGATGATGTCCCCCTCAAGTACCGCAAGACACGAAGTAAATGGCCAAAATGAACGGTCGTAGGAGCACTCACAAACTGACTCAAAATATGGACGGCATGGGCAATATCAGGTCGAGTAACAGTGAGATAAACAAGGCTGCCCACAATATGTCGATATCGAGATGGATCCTTAAGAGGAGTACCATCAGTGGGACGAAGATGCAAATGAAGATCCATAGGTGTCGCAGCTGTCCGATGGTCAGTGATGCCTGAACGAGTAATAAGGTCTTGTATGTACTTGGACTGAGAAAGATAGCAACCCTTTGCAGACTGTTTGACCTCAATGCCTAGGAAATAACTGAGAGGACCTAAATCCGACATTTGAAATTGTGCACCAAGTTGCTGCTTGACATAAGAAATTTGGTCTGCATCGTCACCCGTAATCAATATATCATCAACATATAAAAGAAGCAAAGTACGTCCACGTGAGGAGAGGTGGATAAATAAGGCAGGGTCATGATCACTAGGTGAAAAACCAGCAGCCCGAATGACAGAGACAAAGCGCTCAAACCAAGCACGAGGAGCCTGTTTAAGACCATATAAAGCGCGACGAAGACGACAAACATAACCTGGAGGGGCACTAACACCTGGAGGTGGTTGCATGTAAACTTCTTCATTTAAATCACCATGAAGAAAGGCATTTTTAACATCCATCTGAGAGATTGTCCAAGAAGAAGCAGCAGCCACTGCAATTAAAGTACGAACAGTAGTCATATGAGCAACAGGTGCAAATGTCTCATCATAATCTCGGCCCTGAGTTTGCTGAAAACCTCTAGCAACTAGACGGGCCTTATATCGCTCAATAGAACCATCCGACTTGGTTTTAATCTTGAAGACCCACTTGGATGTAATAGGCACAGCATGCGATGGTAATGGAACAATATCCCAGGTCCCTGTACGATCAAGTGCAGCAAGTTCCTCACACATAGCAAGTTGCCATTCTGGAATGCTAGAGGCCTCTCGATAAGTGGTTGGCTCTTCCACAACAGCAGTGACACGAGGAAAACCATATTTGTCAGGAGGCCCAATAGTAGCACGGTCTCGTAGATTATATCTCAGACCACCCTGTGATTCATCAGAAAAAGCACATGACTCATCAGAATTAACAGAACTATCAACATCGGGAGTAGCAGGACTGGCCGAAGAAGTGGCTGTGGGGATTTGGGGACGACGAGTGTAGTATTTGTGGACAGGTGGTTTGTCAAAGGATGGGAGCTGCTGGACCGGAGGTTGACAAGACAAAGGTTCAGAAAGTGGGGGAGGATCGACATTGGTAAGTGGAGGGTCGACATGAGTAAGTGGAGGAGTTTCAAAAGTGTCAGGAGAAGATACAGAAGTGTTAGGTGGGCTGGAAGACACGGGTTGTGTAGGAGGGTCAACATCACTAAGTATAGGAGGAAGACACAGAAAGGATGTTGACTCTGTACAACTACGGGATGGTGGAGTAGAAGGGTTATAAAAGAAAGGACGATCCTCAACGAAAGTGACATCACGAGATATACGAATGCGGCGAGAGGAGGCGTCATAACAACGATAACCCTTATGCTCAGGACTGTACCCCAGAAAAACACACTCAACTGACTGAGCAGTCAACTTAGTCCGCTCACGAGGTGCTAGTAGGACATAGCAAGTGCAGCCAAAAACCCGAAGGTGGTCATAGTCAGGAGGAGTACCAAAAAGAACCTCACCAGGACACTGACCAGACAATTTTGATGATGGTTGTCTGTTGATGAGATAAATAGAAGTGGACACAGCTTCTCCCCAAAAATGAGAAGGAACAAAAGATGCAATAAGAAGTGTGCGGGCAGTCTCTATGATATGGCGGTGTTTCCGTTCAGCAACCCCATTTTGAGCATGCGCGCCAGGACAAGAAAGCTGAGCAAGAGTGCCTTCAGAAGTCAAAAATTGGCGAAAGGTGTGAGATAAATACTCTCCACCAGAATCTGAACGAAAAACTCGAATGGGGGTGGAAAATTGTGTGTGCACCATGCGAGCAAAATTTTGATAAGTAGAGCACAACTGAGAGCGATGTTTCATAAAGTAAATCCAAGTATATCGAGAATGATCATCAACAAAAATAACATAGTATTTATGACCACCTTTGGAAGCGAAAGGTGCAGGACCCCATACATCAGAATGAATAATATCAAAAGGTCTAGTTTGAATGAGAAGTACTAGTAGAATATGGGAGCTGCAATTTGTTTTCCAAGCTTGCAACCCTTACACCGAAAACTAGACTCAATGGATGTAGGACCTAAACAACCCTTGTTTATTAAGGTGGATAAACGAGACCGCATAAATGACCAAGGCGATGATGCCACTTGGCGAAAGATGAAGTCGATGGCGATGTACTTGATGAAGATGCAAAAGAACATGGCGGGTGACACATGGGCGATAGAGTGAGGAAGGCGTAAAGTGTCGAGAACATAGAGGCTATGAGAACTCTACTGGCGATGGCCGGTCCCCAAGTACTGACCCGGTGCGGCGATCTGAATAAAACAAGATGAGTCATCGAATCCAACAAAACAATTGTGATCCGTTAATTGACCAAGCTGAAAGAAGATTCATGGACAAGCGAGGTACAAAGCGAGACATTAGGTACAGAAAAATTAGAGGTGCAAAGAGAACCACGATGAGTAATGTGGCGAGGATGTACCGTCTCTTTGTGCGAATAGAGGCATCATCTGCAATTGGCTTGCGGGCAACAAGTCGTGTGACTGATCTGATGACACATGAAAAGAGGCTCTGAATCAAGCACCCAAGAAGAAGGAGCGATGAATGGTGATGCAAAGCTGACAGCAGAGACCACAGATCCAGAGGGGTGGAACCTGCAGAGCCTGAGAGCTGTGAGGGGTGGAACCGGCGCCACGACACACTCTGCTTGGGATGGCGTGAGCGATAAGCAATTAACTTCTCGGGATACCGAACAAAGCAATTTTCTGAGCGGTGAGTAGTCTTCTTGCAATGAACACAAGGCGAAAAAGAGTTGCCCTTCACTGTATTGGTCTTGTGAGAGGCTGCGCGAGAACACTGTGTGAGGTCTTGATACAGGAGATCGAGAATTAAGTCGTGTCTCCTCAGCAATCAAGGCGGACAACACATCAGAAATAGGCGGAGTGGTGGAAGCATTTAACAACTGTTTACGACTGGACTCAAAATCAGGCCGCAAACCATGGCAAAACTGATATATAAGGAATTTTTCAATGAACTTATTCTTCTTATCACAGCAGCCTGAGCACCTGTCTCACACTTAGGAACCATGGAAAGAAAAGGTCCCATCAGACGATCAAAAGCAGTATAATACTCCTCGATAGACATCTCATTCTGCTGAAGATCATGAAGTCCTTGCATTAGAGTAAGCAAAAGTGCACCACTGTTCTGAACATATCTCCCCGCAAGTAGTCCCACATCTCCTTAGCAGATTGATGGTGCTCAAGGCTCATCATTAGTGAGGGTTTCATGCTGGTGACTATGGCACTCATGATTCGCCATCATCCTTAGTCCAAGTCGTGACGGCAGCAGCACAGAACCATCCTCCGACTTGTCAGTTGGAGGATCATCTGTCAGATGAGATGCAAGGCCATGTCCACGCAGTACAGTTTGACAGAGAAAGCCCACTCGATAATTAGATGGACCATCAAGTTTCAGAGGAAAAACAATGGCATTTGACAGTAATTGCGACTGCGACATTGTGCAAGATAAGCAGTAGCAGATGACAAGCACCACTGAATAGAAAAACAGAGCAGACCACCGCCAACAGAGCAGACCAGCAAGCAGCAGCAGCAGAGGAAAAACAGAGTAGAGCAGAGAAACCTCTGATGGACGAGCAGAACCTCGATGGACGAGCAGGGCACACGAAGTCAGACGGAGCCACTCGTGCGGCACGACAAGGACGGCTGGCTGGCGTCCTCCGCTTCGCACGGAAGACCGAAAGCGAACAAGGCACGACGAAGGCGATCTGGCGGCGAATCGCGCGGATCAACGCAGCGGAAGACCGACTTCGCGCGGATCGACGAAGTCGCGAATTGAATTGACGCGGAGGAGGACCGCCGCACGGACGGCGCGCGGAGAATCGGCGACGGACGGGGACGACGGGCGCGCGAACGTCGAGAAGGATCCGACGGGCCGCGCGAACGGCGCGGAGGATCGACGACGGGCCGCGCGAACGCGACAAGGATCCGACGGGCCGCGCGAACGGCGCGGATGTGCGGCGATGAGCCGAACAGACGAGGCGGACGACGCCGCGAAGAGACAGGATGGATCCCAAGGTAAAGAAAAATTGGATCGTGGGTGAATTAGAGTAGCCTAATCCTAACCCTAATCCATGCTCTGATACCATGATACTAACCTGGGGATTTTCAGAAGATAATGTCCACAGGTGAAGGAGTCACTATATATAGATAGCCTCATGGCTATATATAGGCATATAGGCCTATTAGATAGGATCTTCACACTTAACAATAATATGATAATAAACTTTCATTATCACCAATGATGTTCAAAAGTATGAGTCACTATTTTCTTTTCTCGAACACACAAGAGCTGAAAAAGTAAGGTTCAGTATAACTCAGAAGCTGAAAGAAATGCGAGAGTTAAACCATGATCACCATAGAGGCATGACCATTGGTGCTATGCCTTCTGCCATTTGAAAATTCAATGCTAGTGCTGGTGCTACTGCTACTGTGGTGGTGGCTAGGCTTGGACGCGAACTGTCCCCACGGCGTCGTGGTGGTGGCCGATCCAGGTCGCACCCTGACCATGCGCTCTGGCACCGTCCTCAACCGTAGTCAACCCGCCCCACCGCTGCTCCGTGCCGGTAACTTGCCGTCGACCCTCGTCGTACCCCACCACTCCCTCCTACTCCGCCGAGATCCGTCTGATCTGCAGGGAGCCCACCGCTGGGCCATGCCACGTGCGTCGCTAGAGGACGCCTCCCACCCAAGCCACCTCGTCGCCCTCCACTACCACTGATTCTGATCCTTTTTTGACTTGTCGTTTGCCCTTTCGTTTGCCCGATCAGGGTTGAGTCACCCACTGCTCGTCGACCTCACAGTCCTCACACATATCTACTGTGACATTGGCATCTACCCCTTCGCCCGTGCGGCAAGGCTGTTGGCCCACGGGATCACCGTCTGACGATAGTGAACTAGTCTCCAGACCACTAGTCTCCCAGACCAGACCACTAGTCTCCCAGACCACTATACCGGTTGTGTCCGTACCCACACACTATGGATCGAGCTAGAAGAAGAAAGGAGAACAGAGCAAGCACGCACAATACAAGACAACAACGTTGTTGGCCGAGGCTCTGTCTGTGTGATGGCAAATCTGAGCTCTCTTTACTGAGTTACCTTGGTGCCCTATTTATACAACTCTATCTATCTAACTAAAAAGTAGCCGGTACATGTAATAAAGAACTAGATAAGCATACTGAGTGGCTGACTCTGCGCAAGCCATTGCATGTGCCTCTGATCTTTGCGGCAGTAAGCCGTCTGGCTACCAGACACTGCAGCTGCTCATTGTATCACTGATGAGGGGCAAAGTCGGCGCCGCCTTCCTCTCTCATTGTGTTTCACACAAGGTGGCGATGAGATTAGCTAACAATCTTCCCTAATCCTCACTGCTAACCCTTGCACCCCATCCATGCCGATTATCTCCTTGACTCCGTGAGTCGAAGTCGTCCGAAGCGGCTTGGTGAGGACGTCCGCGAGTTGCCGACCGGTTTCGACAAACTCGATGACGATCGCCCTCCATCAACACGATCCACGAGGAAGTGGAACTTCACGTCGATGTGTTTACTCGGTCGTGCAAAACCGGATTCTTCGCGAGAGGCGATGGCGGGCTGGTTGTCCACCATCGTCTTTGGTGGGTGAGTTTCACGCCGGTTAGCTTCGCCCGGCCGACCGGCGTAGCCACACAACTTGGCACGCCATTGTGGCGCGCCGCTACGTACTACGCCTCGCACGTAGATAGCGCCACCACCTTACATTTCATTTCTGACCATGAAATTGGGGCCAACCCCGGGGAAGACGAGTACGCCAGAGGTGCTCCGTCGTCCGTCGATGTCCCCGCCATATCGCGCATCATTGAACACCGTGAGTGCGACCTACTTCCCCGGTCTTTGGGAAGATGATTCCATGATTCACCGTCCCCTTGACGTAGCGTAGTAGCCGCTTCACCGCAGCCCGATGATCTCTCTGGGATCCTCCATGAAGCGGCCCGACATAGCCCACGGCGAACGCAATGTCCGCCTTGTGTAGACTAGGTAGCGCAGATCGCCGACGATGCTCCGGTGAGAGTGTTGCATCTACTTCGCATGCCGTGGTCTTTGTCCTTCGTCGATTTAATTTGCTCCTCCATCGAGTCACGCATGGCTTGCACTCCACCATGCCGCTCCTCTCCAACGACTTGAGGCATACGCGCTTTGCCCGAGCGTGAGTTCCTCCTTCCATCTCACCTCGATGCCGAGGTAGTAGGAGAGCGCCGAGATCGCTCATTCGGAAGCGAGCTGCCATCTCTCGCTTGAAGTCGTTGATATCCTCCGTCGCGCGCGCGATGGCGATTAAGTCATCCACATACACGCCGACCACGAGTTCTTCCTTCCCCCCGTCGTCAGCGTGTAAGCGCGTGTTTCGGTTGCACACCTCTAAAACCCAAGCTCGCCCGGCGTGGTGTCAAGCTTGGCGTTCCATGCTCGAGGGCTTGCCGCAGCCCGTAGAGCGCTTTTGTGATCGGAGCACCCATGCTCCTCTCCCTTGACAACGAACCACGGAGGTTGCACGACGAAGACCGTTTCCGCCCGCCGTTGAGGAAGGCCAATTTAACGTCAAGTGATGGACGCGCTTGATCCTTCTTTGCCGCCAAAGCAAGTAGCAAGCGGATCGACTCCATGCGCGCATCATTGGTGCAAAGACCTCCTCGAAAGTCGATGCCCTCGCTATTTGGACAAAGCCTCGGCGACGAGGCGTGCCTTGTACTTGACAATGGCGCCAAGCTCGTCCCTTTTGACTTTGTACACCCACTTTAGGCTGATCGGACGGCATTCTGGGGGTGGATCGACGAGTTGCAAGTCTCGTTTTCCTCGATCGCCTTCATCTCCTCCGGCATTGCCGTCGCCGCGATTTCCATTGCGCTTTCGGCTAAGCGCGAACGTGGGTGGTTCTCTGCAGACCGACGAGTAGCAGCTCTGCGTCGTTGAGCGACCTACCCGCCAGACACGAGGGACTGCGCCGACGATGTCGTCCAGCCCGCGGAACCTCAACTCCTCACCTTCGTGGTAGGCGTCCACGAACTCAGTGATGTCACTTGGAGGTGAGGCGAACTCGATCGGGGGTGATGAAGTTCCTCCTTCCGCCGAGTGCCTCGCATAGCACCGAAGTGCTCGGCAGATCGCTTACGGGCTGTTTCGTCATAACTCCTGCGGTGTTCGGCCACACTGTAGGAGTGCCCAGCCTTAGTCTTGAAGTGGTCGGAACCACAGTAAGACGTCTTGGCTCCGCCACGGGAGTGCTCGGCACCCGTCCTGAAGTGATCGCCACCACTGCAGAACCTCCGGCTCCACTCTGGCGTGCTCGGCATCCCTCCGAAGTGCTCGACACTCCTTCCGGAGTGCTCGGCATCCCTCTGAAGTGCTTTCGGCCTTTGCCCGAAGTGCTTTCGACTCTACCGCCGGAGTGCTCGGCGCTCCTCCGGGAGTTGCGTGGCTTTTTGTTCATGGCGTCTCCACCCGCCGTGGATGACCAAGTGCTCGACGACGAAGGTGTTGGTGAAGCCTCCCGCTTCCCGTGTTTCGGGGTATGCGGTCCCAAAGGCGCCTCCTCGTTGAACACAACGTCGCGAGACGATCACCTTTCTCCGCGTGGGTCATAGAGCCAGACGCCTTGGTACCATCCGCGTAGCGGGGAACACCATGGGTGTGCTCATCCTCCGGCTTGGTGAGGTTGGCCGTCTTTTCGGCGCGTGGCGATGCAACCGAATGTCCGGAGGAATGACACGTTCGGCTTGCTCCCGCCGTACCAAGCTTGAACGGCGTCTTGCCCGTTAGGGCTTTGGTTGGAGAAGCGGTTGAGGATGAACACCGCCGTGGTCACCGCCTCTCCCGAACTTTGTCGGCATCCTTTGGCCTTCATCATGGATCGGGCCATGCGACCCTTTGCTCTGGTTCGTCGCTCCACCACGCCATTCATTTTGTGGCGAAGTGCGGTAGCGGCGTGCGTGATGTTGCCCCACACCTTGATCCGCGCGAGACGTAGCAAACTCCACCAAGTGAATTTGCCATCCCGATCGATCCTCGATTACGGAGCTTCTTGCGCTCTCGGCCTCCGCGCACG